CGTGTTGATACATATGGGTCAGAACCCACTCCTGCTAATTGTTCCTCTTCCTCCATATTGTCCCCCCCTTTTTTTTTGGTAACTGTAAAAGACGGTTTTGTTGTATGCTTACTGTATACCATGCTGTATGGTTAAATACTTGAAAAACATGACTTTCTTTAATATAAAAGTAATATACATTCATTCTAGAGTAGAGTGCATAAGAGCTTGGCTTAGATCTAGAGGTAGACTGCTTGGGTTCAACTCCAGTTCTGCCTAGCTGTGTGATTTGGGTAAATTACTCAGCTATTCTAAATCTCAGTTTCCATATCAGTTGGATTGTTGTAAGGATTAAATGAAATGATGCATTCAGGAAAAAAGAACAAAATAAATATCAAGCAGTTCATAGACACCGAAATAACCACTTGGATTATTTCTCCTCTGTGGGACTGTTTCTCCCTCTGTCTCAATGGAGACTTTGTGGAATTTTATTATTCTTTGTTAAGTTTTTAAAACATATTTTAAATTGTGGTAAAATACACATACAACTTATCATTTAAATTATTTTAAAGTGTACAATTTAGTGGCATTAAGTACATTCACAATATTGTTCAACCATAATCATTATCTAGTTCCAGAGCTTTTTTATCACCTCACATGGAAACCCCATACTCATCACTTCTTATCCCTTGTTGTTCAGCCCCTGGCAACCACTAATCAGCTTTTTGACTTTGTGGATTTGTGTATTTTGGGAATTTCATATAAATGGAATCATACAATATATGACCTTTTGTGTCTGGCTCCTTTTAGCATAATGGTGTTAAGGTTCATCCATGTTATGGTATGTGTCAGTACTTTATTCCTTTTTATGAATGAGTAAGATTTCACTGTATGTATATACCACATTTTGTTTTTCCAAGTATTAGTTCAGAATATTTGAATTGTTTCCACCTTTGGCTACTATGAATAGTTGCTGGTATGAACATTGATACACAAGCTTTTGTTTGAACACTGGTTTTCTATTCTTTTTGATAAACAGTTGACCCTTGAACAATGCAGAGGTTAGGGACATTGACCCCCTGCACAGCCAAAAATTTGCATACCCAGCTTTTGATTCCCCAAAAACCTAACTGCTAAGGAAGCCAAGTGTTGACCAGAAGCCTTTCTGATAACATAAACAGTCAGTTAATACATAGTTTGTATGTTATATGTATTATTTACTGTATTCTTACAGTAAAGTAAGCTAGAAAAAGTGTTATTAAAAAAATCATATGGAAGAGAAAATACATTTACAAATACAGTACAGTATTGTACTGTATTTATATTTTAAAAATATGCACGTAAGTGTACCTTAGCAGTTCAAACACATGTTGTTCAAGGTTAACTGTATCCTCCCTAAGGTGGAATTGCTGGATCACATGGTAACTTTTTGATAAATCAGCAAACTGTTTTTCTCAGTGGCTGTACCATTTTACATTTCTACCAGCAATACACAAGGGTTCCAATATCTCCACATTCTCATCAACATTTATTTTCCATTTTTGGTTTTTGTTTTTGTAGCCATCCTACTGGGTCTGAGTGGTATCTCATTGTGGTTTTGACTTGCATTTCTCTAATGACTAATGGTGTTGAGCATCTTTTTATGTGCTTTTTGGTCAGTTGTATATTTTCTTTGGAAAAATGTCAGTTTTTAAACTGAATTGTCTTTTTGTTGCGTTTAAGAGTTCTTTATAGAGCCATCTGGGTAGCTCAGTTAAGCATCTTGGTTTCAGCCCAGGTCATGATCTCAGGGTTGTGAGATGATGGAGCCCCATGTTGGGCTTGGCGCTGGGTGTGGAGCCTGCTTGGGATTCTCTCTCTCCCTCTCCCCTAGCCCCCACTTTCTCTCTTTCTCTCTCAAATAAATAATCTTTAAAAAAAAAGTTCTTTATATATCTTGAATAGTAGACCCTTATCAGATATCTGATTTGCAAATATTTTTCCCATAATGTGGGCCTTTTAAGTCTCTTGAAAATGTCCCTTGATGTACAAAAACTTTTAACTTTGATGAAGTCTAATTTATCCATTTTGTTGGTTATGCTTTGGTGTCATATCTAAAAAATCATTACCAAATCCATGAACAAGAAGGTTGATCCCTATGTTTTCAGAGTTTTATTTTTTGGGCTGTTATATTTAGGTCTCTGATCCATTTTGAGTTAATTTTTATATATATAGTGTGAGTTAGGGGTGAACTTCATTTTTCTACATGTGGATATCCAGTGTTCTTAGCATCATTTGTTGAAGAGATTGTTCTTTTCTCATTTCATGGTCTAGGCACTTTTGTCAAAAACTAATCAACCAAAGATATATGGGTTTATTTCTGAACTCTCCGTTCTATTTCATTGATTTATAGGTCTTTCCTTATATACCACATTGATTTGATTACAGTAACTTTATAGTAAGTTTTGAAATTCAACCTGTAAGTCTTCCAACTTTGTTCTTTTCAAGATTGTTTTGGCTGTTTGAGGCCCCTTGCAGCCCCTTGCAGCTCCATATGAATTTTAGGATCAGATTTTCTGTTTCTTCAAAAAAAAAAAATCGTTGATATTAGGGATTGCATTCAATGTCTAGATCACTTTGTGTAGTATTACCATTTTAACAGTATTAAATCTTCCAACCCATGAATATGGGATGTCTTTCCATTTATTTGGGTCTTTCAGCAATGTTTTATAGTTTTCGGTATGTGTATCTTGTACCTCCTTGGTTAAATTTATTGCTTAATCGTTTTTTAATACTTTTATAAATGGAATTGCTTTCTTAATTTCTTTTTCTGATTGTTCATTGATACAGAAATACACCTTTTTGTGTGTGTTGATCATGTATCCCACAACTTTGCTGAAATTGCTTATTAGCTCTAAGAGTTTTTTGTAGATTCTTTTGGATTTTATATATGTATAGGATTATGTCCTATGCATTTAAAAAACATTTTTAGACCTAGTTATTACCTTTACACCAGTGTTTTTCAACTTGCAGGTCACAACCTAATAGTGGATCATGAAATCAATTCAATTTGTAAGTTTGGTTCTGTGAAATTGTTGTGTATAAAACATAGATTGTTTGCATGTATTGGAGTCCTTGTATAAAATATATTTCTTACCAGGAATTAAAGTAAAAAAAAAAATGAAACTCTTAGTAGTTGCTTTTCATTATCTTGGAAATGATAATTTTTTTAAAAGATTTTATTTTTTTCCTTGAGAGAGAGAGCAAGACAGAGAGCATGAGCAGGGGGCAGAGGGAGAGGGAAAAGCAGACGCCTCACTGAGCAGGGAGTGGACACAGGGCTCGGTCCCAGCACCCCAAGATCATGACCTGAGCTGAAGGCAGATGCTTAACCAACTGAGCCATCCAGGTGCCCTTGTTTGTTTTGTTTCTTAAATTCCACATATGAGTGAAGTCATATAGCATTTGTCTTTCTCTGGCCGACTTAACTTTGCTTAGCATAATACTCTGTAGTTCCATCCATGTCATTATTAATGCAAGATCTCATTCTTTTTATGGTTGAGTAATATTCCATTGTATAGCTTGTGAGATTTTTGCTTTTCATGCTTTCTGATAAATCATTTCTTAGCCTTGTTTTGGGTACTGTGGAGAAAATTTCTTACTGAAACCCAAGATACTTGAGAAGAATATACTTTATTAAAGATAATAATCTATCTAGTAAATTGCATATACTTATTACAAATGAAAACAAAAGCCATATTATGAAGGATAATATATCTACAAAGATATCTTTTATTCTCCAATGGATAGAAATTACTAAAGTATAATAAAATGTATATTTTCAGTAATTGAATTAATATGAAATTTCCTGAATATAGTAAAGAATTAAGGGTAAACTCACAGCTTTTTAAAGCAAATGAAATACCTTAAAATATAACTATAATACATGGATACAAAATTACTACTTTACAAAAGTAAAATTATTCCCATGCACTAGACTCATGATAGGGTGTCTTTCCAATCTAATAAATTAAATACTGTTTGATTTTTCTAAATTGTTGTGTATGATGCTAACTTGCATCTTTTACCCATGAACAGTTTGGGGGGTTATGGACTATGTACAGTAAAGGACATTGGGACTGGAGCTGCCACCAGTGGAGTTATTCTGCCCTCTGCCCTCTTTGTTCCACTCTCCATTTACTGATGCAGCATCTTCCCAGTGGTCCACCTGTCATTCTGACAGGGTTTTTTTGAGATTTTATTTATTTATTTAAGAGAGAGAGAGAGAGAGAGAGAGCACTAGCAGAGGGAGAGGGGGAGGAGTAGAGGGAGAGGGAGAAGCAGACTCCCCGCTGAGCAGGGAGCTTGACACAGGACTCAATCCCAGGACTCCAGGATCACGATCTGAGCCAAAGGCAGATGTTTAGCCAACTGAGCCACCCAGGCACCCCCTTTTTTTTTACTGCATTACACAATTCAGCATGTATTGGGACGAGCCTGGGCTTTAGAATCCCATAAGACTGTGTTTAATTCTTCTCCCTCCTGTCAGCTTTCTGATTGTGGACAAGTCACTTGAGTCCTCTTAGCCTCACTTTCCTTTGCTATAAAATGGAGATAATTCAGGGTTACGCTGAAGAATAAATGCTATTATGCTGTGTATATGACGTGTCAAATACAAGTGCCTGGCATGGTAAAAAAAAATTATAGCTATTAAAACACCTGTGTTATGATTAATACTTAGTAAATGGTAGTTCCATTTCTGCTTGCAACCAAAACTTGTATAAATGTTCTATCATTTTCAAGTAGAAGCTAACGAATTCTACAAAGTTCATCTGTGCCATTGGGTGTTTGTTAGTAGAACGTGTTTTCCATATAATTGTATAGATTTTACTGATAGTTTTGTGATACATTAGGTTTTAGATGATGGGAATTGCCTTGCTGTCTGTTATGAAAATATGAATATATGGGGTATGTCTGTTTTTAAGGTACCAAAACCCCAAAATAATAAATGAGCATTATTATTTTATTTTCCTCTTCTGTAGTTATGTGCTGCTCATCTTCCAGCTGAATCAGAGGCACCAAATCATTATCAGGCAGTATGTCGTGCACTGTTTGCAGAAACAATGGAGCTACACACGTTTCTGACTAAAATTAAGAGTGCAAAGGAGGTAAGTACTACTGCTTTTATTTATTGGCATTGTGAAAGATTAACCTGAATTTTCAACACTGTCCATCATAATATTTAAAATATTTATTACCATCCTTATCATGAGTGCTAAAAATAATTTAGGAAAGAATCAACATAGGCAAAATTAAATATTTTTTTTTAAATTGCAGTATAGTTGACATATATACAATATAATGATTGAACAATTCTATACCTTACTCAGTGCTCACCCATCCTCCCACCCACATCCCCTCTGGCAATCATTAGTTTGTTCTCTCTAGTTAAGAATCTGTTTTTTTGTCTTTTTTTCCTTTGTTCATCTGTTTTGTTTCTTAAATTCTACATAAGAATGAAATTATATGGTATTTGTCTTTCTCTGACTTATTTGGCTTAGCATTATGCCCTCTAGATCCATCCATGTTGTTGCAAATGGCAGGATCTCATTCTTTTGTATGGCTGAGTAATACTCCATTGTATATCTGTACCACATCATCTTTATCCACTCATCTGTCGATGGACACTGGGGCTACTTCCGTAATTTGGCTATTGTAAATAATGCTCCAGTAAACATAGGGGTGCATATATCTTCTTGAATTGGGGCTTTCATATTTTGGGGTTAATACCCAGTAGTGGAATTACTAGATCATATGGTAATTCTATTTTTAATATTTTGAGGAACCTCCATACTGTCTTCCACAGTGGCTGCACCAGTTTGCATTCCCACCAACAGTGTAGAAGGATTTTTTCTCCATGTCCTTGCCAATGCTTGTTGTTTCCTGTGTTGTTAATTTTAACCATTCCGACAGGTGTGAGGTGATATCTCGTTGTGGGTTTGATTTGCATTTCCCTGATGATGAGTGATGGTGAGCATCTTTTCATGTGTCTCTTGGCCATCTGGATGTCTTCTTTGGAGAAATGTCTATTCGTGTCTTCTTTTATTATTATGATGATGATGATGATGTTAGTCCCCATACCGTACATCATTAGTTTTTGATGTAGTGTTCCATGATTCATTATTTTTGTATAACACCCAGTGTGCCATGCAATACGTGCCTTCCTTAATACCCATCACTGGGGCAACCCATCCCCATACCCCTCTCCCCTCTAAAACCCTCAGTTTGTTTCTCAGAGTCCATAGTCTCTCATGGTTCATCTCTCCCTCCGATTCCCCCCCCCTTCATTTTTCCCTTCCTTCTCCTAATATCCTCCATGCTATTCCTTATGTTCCACAAATAAGTGGAACCATATGATAATTGACTTTCTCTGCTTGACTTATTTCACTTCCATCCACGTCTTCTGCCCATTTTTAATTAGATTATTTGGGTTTTCTTTTCCATGTTGAGTTTTATATAAGTTGTTTTATATTTTGAATTCTTTTATTGGATATGTCATTTGCAAATATCTTCTTCCATTTGTTAGGTTGTCTTTTAGTTTTGTTGATTGTTTCCTTTGCTCTGCAGAAGCTTTTTATTTTGATATAATCCCAATTATTTTTGCTCTTGTTTCTCTTGCCTCAAGAGACATATCCACAAAAATTTTGTTATGGCTGATGTCAGTGAAATTACTGCCTGTGCTTTCTTCTAGGATTTTTATGGTTTCAGGTCTCACATTTAGGTCTTTAATCCATTTTGAGTTTATTTATGTGTATGGTGAAAGACATTGGTCCAGTCTCATTCTTTTGCACGCAGCTGTCCAGTTTCCCCAGTACCATTTGTTGAAGAGACTGTCTTTTTCCCATTGCATATTCTTGTCTCCTTTGTCAAAGATTAATTGACCACATAATCATGAGTTTATTTCTGGGTTTCCTATTCTGTTCTCTTCATCTATGTATTTTTATCAGTGTCTTCGCCAGTTCTGTACTGTTTTGATTACTTTAGCTTAATAGTATATCTTGATATTTGCAGTTGTAATATTTCCAGTTTTGTTCTTCTTTTTCAAGATTGCTTTGGCTATTGAAGGTCTTTTGTGGTTCCATATAAATTTTAGGATTATTTATTCTAATTCTGTGAAAAGTGCTGTTGGTATTTTGATAGAAATTGCATTAAATCTATAGATTGCTTTGGGTAATGTGGACATTTTAACAATATTTGTTCTTCCAGTCCATGAGCATGGAATATCTTTCTATTTGTTTGTGTTGTCTTCAGTTTCCTCATCAGGTTTCAGAGTACAGATCTTTCACCTTATTTGTTTATTCCTAGGTATCAGTTTTGGTGCCATTGTATGTGGGATTGATTTTCTTTTCTTTTGGGGGGGGGTTGTTTTCTTAATTTCTCTTTCTGCTGTTTCATTATTATTGTGTAGAAACACAGCAGATTTCTGTACATTGATTTTGTATCCTGTGGCGTTACTGAATTCATTTATCAGTTCTAGTAGTTTTGGGGTGGAATCTTTAGGGTTTTCTATGTATAGTGTCATATCATGTGCAAATAGTGAAAGTTTTTCTTCCTCCTTACCAATTTTGATGCCTTCTATTTCTTTTTCTTGTCAGATTGCTATGGCTAGGACTTCTAGGACTATGTTGAATGAAAGTGATGAGAGTGGACATGCTTGTGTTGTTCCTGATCTTAGAGAAAAAGCTCTTGGTTTTTCAGCATTGAGTATGATATTAGCTGTGGGTTTTTCATGTATGGCCTTTATTATGTTGAGTTATTTTCCCTCTAAACCTGCTTTGTTGAGGATTTTTTCATGAATGGATATTGTGCTTTGTTACTTTTTCTGCATCTATTGAAATGATCATGTGGTTTTTATCCAAAACTTGCTGATGTGATGTATCATGTTGATTTATTTGTGAATATTGAACCACTTTTGCTTCCCAGGAATAAATCCCACTTGATCATGGTGAATGACTTTTTTTACTGTATTGTTGGGTTCTGTTTACTAGTATTTTGTTGAGGATTTTTGCATCTCTGTTCATCAGAGATATTGGCCTGTAGTTCTCTTTTTTTGTGGTGTCTTTATCTGGTTTTGGTATCAGGATAATGCTGGCCTCATAGAATGAATTTGGAAGCTTTCCTTCTATTTTTTTGGAATAGTTTGAGAAGAATAGATATTAACTCTTCTTTACGTGTTTGGTAGAATTTACCTGTGAAGCTGTCTGATCCTGGGCTTTTGTTTACTGGGAGTTTTTTGATAACTTACTCAATTTCATTGCTGGTAATTCATCTGTTCAAATTTTCTATGTCTTCCTAATTCAGTTTTGGGAAGTTGTATGTTTCTAGGAATTTATCCATTTCTTCAAGATTGTCCAATTTGTTGGCATATAATTTTTGATAATATTGTCTTATCCTTTGCATTTCTGTTTCACTTGTTATTTCTCCTCTTTCATTTCTGATTTTGTTTAAATTTGTTCTTAGTTTTTTAATCTGTTGTTTAAATGAAAGTGTGTAAATCCATGTTATAAAACAGATTTTTGTAAAGCTTCCTTACAAATGAGAAATAAAATGCCACTGAATTAGTTCAGTTTCCCATATGACTTGCTTTTCACCATCTTTCTGCCACTCTTTCCATTTTAAAAGATATAGTACCTTTTTCAGGAAGGAATATGGACTCAGGAAGGAGGCTGTTACACATTTGATAATTTAACTATTTTATAGTGGATTTGGATAAATATATAATGGAGGTGATTGGAATTAATATTCATATAGTTGACAATCTCATTTTAGCTATTTTCTTTCATTATTATTCATCATTGTCTGTGATTTAAACTGTTATGTGTAGAGTCCAAAGAGAATCACTCTAATTTATTTACAAGTTGAATTACCATATTATACATCACACAGATGGTTGTGAAGATTCATGAGATCTATATAAAGCAGCACAGCATCTGTCATGCAGTAAGAGCTCAGTACATGATAGGTGGTGGGTATAATTTCTTTTATGACTAAAGTACAGAGTTTCTCTGAAGTACTAGTTTAAAACTTCTGATGACACAGAGTTTGGGGAGGGATACAGTGCAATGTGTTAGAGTGGAAGGAAAATATTAACCCATATTAGCCTAATAAGACTAATTATCTCTGGTAGTAAGTGACAGATGTGTCATCCAGATCACCCTTAATAAATCACCTTAAATAGGGCGCCTGGGTGGCTCAGTTGGTTAAGCGACTGCCTTCGGCTCAGGTCATGATCCTGGAGTCCCGGGATCGAGTCCCACATCGGGCTCCCTGCTCAGCGGGGAGTCTGCTTCTCCCTCTGACCCTCTTCCCTCTCGTGTTCTCTATCTCTCATTCTCTCTCTCTCTCAAATAAATAAATAAAATCTTTAAAAAAAATAAATAAATCACCTTAAATAAATCCATTTTATATGTATGAATAAGAGCTCTAAGCATTCTTTTCTGTCCTAGCCTGGATACTGTTCATAGTCTGCCTTTTTGTTATAAGCCAATGAAAAACTATGTTTTTTGTTTTTTTTTTTAGGATTTTATAGAGTTAGACCAAGAGAAAAAGTCTTCAAAGGGTGGAAAAGGGTGAACTGTGTGTTATTTGAAGAATAATTACAGGGGTGCCTGGGTGGCTCAGTCATTAAGCGTCTGCCTTCAGCTCAGGTCATGATCCCAGGGTCCTAGGATCGAGCCCCTCATCGGGCTCCCTGCTCTGCAGGAAGCCTGCTTCTCCCTCTTCTACTTCCCCTGCTTGTGTTCCCTCTCTCGCTGTGTCTCTCTCTGTCAAATAAATAAATAAATAAAATCTTAAAAAAAAAAAGAATTATAAATACATCATGGGGACTAGCTTGTCCTCTTGGACAGAACCAGATTAAATGCTTCAGAGTAAATATCCAAAAGTACATCCTCAATTAAGGTTTAGTAAATAGTAGAAAAGATTACTTTTTAAGCTTGTAATTGTCTTCCCCAGCTTGTTAAGTTTGAGATTGCTTTCTCCAGAGAAACAAGCGTTATTTTTAGGATGTAAATATAGTCCTGTGGGGTTAATAGAGTAAACTAAATGCACCGCTGAAGTCCTTTCAACACACACATTCTCAGGAACCATTCTGAGCTTAAAGAATTGT